TTGATATAGACAACAGATACAGAACAGTTAGATTAGTATTTGAGTTATCGCAGAGTTAATAGTAGGTCTATTATTTCTGTTTAATATCCTTGACCTAACCATTATAACGTACATTTAATAAAATATAATAGTAATAAAAATAAAATGCGCAACTTATGTGTTTTTAATCTAAGTAAACATTAACGACGCTTTGGTATCTTTGATCCCATAAGACCCAGAAATATGCTTAGATTAAATTTATATCTTTCACTAACCTTGATTAAATAATATTTATGACTCACAGAATTTCCATTGATATTATTCATCATGTTCTATATAAATTTGATATATTTTGTAAGCGGAAGCGGAACATGAATATGTATATGTTTATATTTAAATATATTACAAATATTCTATAGTTTTATGCTATATTTTCTAGATATGTTATCGATATCATTTGACAATCAGTTCCAAGATTGCAGCTCATTTAAAATTATTTTACTCTTAAATTACTCACTTCTCTATATTTGAATATTTCACTTTTTATATCCGTCATACTATTAAAATCTTTGAGCAATGCCGAAGTTTTCAGAAAACTTTCATAAATATATTGTTATTAGAACCGATTATTTTTGTTTCCAATTTCCGAGAATTTCAAAGCTCTATAAATTTTGTCAAATAATATTTAGAATATTCATATATATGAAATTTCTATATATATGTTTTTATATACTTTCTAACAAACTGAAGCTCCATCACAATGTAAGATATTACATATATAATGTAGAATATTTATATATATATATATTTTTTTTGTTTTTCGATCAACTTTCTATTAATTCCTTCTCTATCAAAAATATATCGATTAGTATTTCCCTAATTGTTTTTTTATCGTATGTGGCAACAGTCGAAAGCTTTTTAAATTGATGGATCAATCGTATATGGGAATTCTTTGCACTAAATGGAACACATATGTATATGTACATATATATACTACAGGGCCGGGGTAACAATTGCACTTATCTAATGTGGGGGAGAGGAGGCGAAACAGGCAGAGGAAGAGTGTGAGGGATGGGGCAGTAGGTGGGGTATATATAGGTCTATAGGTATATAGGCGCAACATATGGTCTCAGGGTCATGTCGAATACCGCATTACGAATTCAATTTTTTTTTTTTTTTGTGGGGGAGGAGAGACAACAGCTAATGGAGGTAGAATCATTACTGTGGAGGTGTGTGAGCGAATGCATATGGCACCCAAAAGAAAACAAGGCAATTGGGAAAACACAAAAGCGAAAATCGAAAAGCCTTTGCCGCGTGTTTCCAATAAATATTGAATTGAGTCAGGTGCCAATGCAGTTCGCGCCCCCAAAAAGGCAAATTGCTAATCTCTTGCCGTTGAGCACTGCAAAGTGAACCCTAAAATCGGGCTACGCTTTATCATGCTCCAAGTCACTCGGATATTATGAGTTCAAAATTTGTTTTATTTATCGCTAGTTCGGCATTTCGTGCGAGGCTTTTGCTATTTCGCTTTCAGTCTCTTGCCGATTGCGACATCGCAATGCGACATAAAAGTTCAACGTGCCAATTTATTTGCGGTCTGCTCTGCTCGAACAATACGAGGTCTCTCCTTATTCTGCTTCTTCTTCTTCTGCTATATTAAATCGTATAATCAATGTCTATAGCAATATTCCTGTGTGTGCGTGAAAGTGCTTATCCCATTAATTCGGGTTATTTTTCGCTTAGCCCACAAATTAATCTGACTGTTGATGTGATAAGCGTACATACAAATCGATAGATTAGTGCAAATCGTGTATTATGAATCCTATCGAGGTGCATTTGATTTATATGACAATATTTCAATATTTCCTTAAGTGATTTATCTAATCTTCTCGTGCTGAAGGCAATAAAATATCAAGCGACAATTAACATTTCATATTCAGAAATGTCGAGTTTCGTCATTCTGACTTTTCATATTCTTCTTGAAAGTTGACGTTGAACGATGAGAAACAGTTCTCAAAATTAAAATTATGTGTGAAATGTTAACTTTCATTAAACACAAAAAAAACAAAAAACAAAAATAATTAATAAATAAATAAAACTTAAAAACAAA